TAACCTAGCCATCTCATAATCATCAGAATCAGCTTTCCTCAAGGGTCCTACCCCATACTAATATTTTGTTTACCCTTAATGTATTAAAAGAAATTCTTACTGTTATTTTTTACATTTTCAGACAACCTTTTCTCATACATTCTTTTTGTCCTAATTTCCTGTTTCACCAACTTTCTTGATATTCTATAATTTTCTAAATCTCCTGTCATACCAGTCAATTTAAATTACATAAATTTATGATGCTTTTCTTTCATTTTATCTCTTAAACTCTTTGTGAGCCAACCTGGTTTTTACTTATAGCTACCCTTTTATTTTTATAAGGAATATGTTTACCTTGAATATTTAAAAATTTATCTTTCAAGATTTTCCACATCTGATCAGTATCTCCAAATAACTCAGCTGCCCAATTGACAATAGCAGTATATCACCAAGTTAAGCTTTTATCAGTTTGTTCTAATATCTGTGTGAATCTTCACTGATCTATAAGTTTTATTAGCTCATACAGTTGAAAAGAATTGTAAAAGAGCTTTCATGACCTGTTTAGATCACTAGCCTATGATTCTCAAGGCTGGGATATAGACATTATTAAATCACACCATGACAGCCAGGGTTAAGAAACTGGTTGACTAAAATTGATAAATCTGCACTTATATTCAAGATACAAGAACAAATTAGCATGATTTTACTCAAGGACTTTCTCCTTGGGGCTGTGAATGCTACATTATGCTCAGAAAAAAAATTGGTAAATTCACAATCACTAATGATTTCATTGGGAGCTTGCTAAGTCTACCCAAGATGAAAATGTTTGATTTTTCCAAATATTTTATGTATAAAACTAAATGAATCAAACTTTTTTGTTGAGAATTTATTATTTCTGATGTATTTTTCTGTGTGGAAGAATTTTTTCTATATGTTTTTAATTTAGTGGTGCAAATTTTCACTTAAGGCAGGATGCACTTATCTGGGCTATAATGATATTTCATTTTGGGAACTGGGGAGATACCTGAAGAAGAAATTCTTTTTATTTCTTTTGTTTTTCTGACACGTGTTTGAGGCTTGAATGTATACAACTTTTATTTAGATATTGTGCCTTGTATTTCAGATGAGGCTTAACTTTTTTGTTGTAGGACCTACAGCGTGATATCTATTTATATGTGACATGCGCATTGTCATGGAATCTACAACATATGCTAACCTTTCTTCCCTGTTTCCCCACAGAGAGATAGTTGCCTTGGCTATGCATATAATGCATAACCTGGTGAATTCCAGGTTTTATAATTGCTATAAATTATCTAGAACACATGACAAAATCATGTAACTACAGCATATCTTCAGCAAGATTAAAGTACTTACTCAGAAGTTTTGAGATAAATCCTAGGGTTTCTCTGATGTTCTTTACTTCTGTAGTTGATATCACTGTTTAGCCATGATAAACCTGGAGAAATAAAATTGGGTCAGCTGTTCTTTTTACTTGTATAAGAGGCTTCCATCCCTATCATCCCAGAAAAATCAAAGCAGTGAATGTTGGAGAAGCCCCGAGATTTATATCAAATAACTTTAATACTGAATGTCTGTAAATTATGTAAATAAGAGTTAGTAGGCCTAAAAATGTTGTGCAAGCACATTTTAAAAGATGAATGAATATGGCATCACACTGAATTCTTTCATGAAATCATAAATAGCATGTTTGAGTGGCAAGAAACATTATAATAAAATTACCAAAAACAAAACTTCCAACACAAATTATGTAACATTAGAATACCTTCAGATTTGCCAGGCTGACTATTGCTGTAAAATGTAACTAAGATATCTCATTACTGCTACAGCTTATTGTTATATCATTTGTGTGTTTAACCTATAGAATGAAGGTTTTTGAGCTCGACAAAGATGGAAGTGTTCTTTTGGTCAAGGAAGGTGGAAACTTTACAGCAGTTGGCACAAAATGTACTCATTATGGAGCTCCTCTGGTTAAAGGTGTGTCAGTTGCAATTAGTGTTTGAATAACAAAGAATATCATTAATTATTTTGTCAGATTTAAGTTTTAAGTATTTGTAAGTAGCTGTAATGTTTTTTCTCTTTATTTTTAAATGTAAATGTCAAATTATTTATTTAGCTGTGAATTTTTAAAAAGTAACTTATAATATTTGTTTTGATAAAATATTTTTAAAGAATTGAAATTTTTTTAGCAATTGAAAAATAACATTTAAAGAAAGTATAAAATGTACTATTTTTATTACCAGGAGTTCTGTGTGAAGGTATGATTCGATGTCCGTGGCATGGGGCATGCTTCAGTGCTCGTACTGGTGACATTGAGGACTTTCCAGGTTTAGACAGCCTTCCAACATACAAGGTGAGAATAGAATAAATCATTCAGGTATATTATCATATAAAATATATGTTGATTTTTACTAAAGAACATTTGGTAGAATTTCAAGGAATTTAATTCTTACTAAAGGTTGTTTTTTCTTTTATTGTTTATAGAACACTGGTAGGTATCATCCTGATTAAGGTTCAAAGTTAATGGTAGTTGGTATAATTTTGGTGTATGCTTAAAGCCAAAACAGTTTTTTATTCTGTTTTTAATCAGGAACTTAAAGTAAACTAAAAGCCAAAATAAGTTTGTCTTAAGAATATCAGTAATCTAAACAGCTCATCAAAGATGCATATATGCAGCACCTGCAACCTACATGTGCAGTCACTGTACACCATGTCAGCATATATATTTTATAAATCTACATCATATGCAAGTTGACTGTACAGTGTACATATTACATACCTTAAATTTCAACAAAATATGTTTATTTGTATGTTGTTGGATGGTTTGCATATATGTTGTATATCATATGCATGCATGTTTTATATGTGCTTTATGTCTGCCTTAAATATATTCTTCTTGCATCTATTTTACAACTGCTGTGCATATCTACATTTTGTATGTTTTTTTAATCTTTCAGAATTGGCCATCATATATATATTTTACAATCATAATTTTTCTAGTTATATTAATTATTTGACTATGGAGCTAGGTGCATTGCACCTACTATGTAACCTCCAAAGTAACCATAAGATTAGTCATACTATAACTTTTGATAATGTATGTGAATCTTCACAAACTTTTGCAGACTATCGGTAAATGTTACAAGGCTTTTTGTTCAAAAAGTATCAGATTTTTTAATTAAGTAGTTTAATTAACGAATTTTTGCATTCAGAATGTTGATTATCTAACATGAAAGGTGATTTTGATCTCAAAATTAAAAATACTCTGTTTGAAAATTGTCTAACTTAATTTTCTTAACCTCTAAAAAAAAGAAAAAATTTATATTTTATCTGTTATTTTCTCTACTCTAACTCTATGCAGGGTTGGTTGACTTGACATACCTCATAACAACTATAAAAAATTAGGAAATAAATTTAAATTACTCTTTTTTTTTTCGAGAACGACTGCAAATTGTAACAAAAAACCACAATTTTTTTATTTTAAATAACTTAAATCTCATAAGAGTATACATCTATTTATATGTATTGATTTTTTATTTTATTGACTTTTGAGCCAAGTCTAACTAATTCCACCATACAAGTTGTAAATCACACAGCACACTTGCAGCTCAAGTTATCATATTGAATAGCATAAAAAAAAGTCATACTGTTCTTAGACTTAGTACTATTTTGTAAAGTACAGTGACATTTTGATTACCATATATTACATGTGTATACGAGTCTGGGACATTTTGTTATGAACAAATTGTAACATGTACTTTATGTTATGAAAGACATTCATTATGGCATCCAAGTCACTGTTACATTGTTACAAAAGGTTTGTTACAAGATTTATTGTGATTGGTGAATTTTGCTACCAGATTCACAACTACCTAATTCAAGTACCAAAGGACATCTTATCATCCCTCTCCCACAGTGAGGGAAGCAAAAGTTTTTAAGTTTAACAAATTTTATCTCGCAAAGAGATCAAAATATTGAAATTTGCCAAGTTTTCCCCTTTGATGGATATGGTGTGTTTGAGGATTGAGTTCATATCTTTTTCAAAGAATGACCATAAGGCCATCGTGAATGGTTTCATATGCACTTGGCAAAGGGCCTCTACTGGCGAAAAGTGATCTCAGTGGCACTATGTGCGACAACATTCATACAAAAATGATACATATATTATGTTTGTAAATGATCAAGTTATTAAAAGTGTTTTGAATTCAAATCAAAGTATGTTAAATTACAATAAATGTTTTTGTAGACCTAAATTATTTTCACTGTAATTTGTGTTTTATGTAACACTGTTAATGATACCCTCTGTAACACAGGCTTAGACACCCTCTCACCCCCATAGTGTTATGTAATTTTTGAATGGTACCCAAATGATTGTACAATTTATGATCTATTATCACTTCTGATTATTGTATGTATGTAAAAAAACTACCTGTCACAAAATCAGTATTTGTAACAAAAACTGCCGTGTCACAAAAATACACCTGTCACAAGTTGTCCTAGTAACAATGTGGTGGTAACGACATGTTCGTAACAAAATTTCTGGATTTTATTTAAAAGTATTATTATTATTTACAAATAAATTCTTAAATTTCAGTTATTTTTCATAAAATGTAGAATAGTAAATAAAAAAATATATATATATTGAAAACAATGATCTCTACTAATTATGATGCTACAAAGTTTTTGTACTCATGCATCATACATACTAAGCCTCATTGATTTCACATGTGAAGGATGTAAGAAATTAATTTCAATAGGTTTTTATATATACATTTTGGAATAAGAAAAATTATAAATTACGATACTAGTAACCACAAAAATCTACCGTAATTTTATCGGGCTTTCAAACTAAACTGTATTTGGGGCTAAAAGATAATGCCAGTTGTGTAGATGTATGCCTAGACAATAAGTACATTTAGTTGCCCTATTGACATGTAAGTTTAAAAGTTCTCTGGCTGAATGCAGTAGAAATAAGTGATGGGTGCCACTCCCACCTTCTATACATCTGCTTCATCTTGTTTACATTCTTCTTATCATCGTTAGCTTCTTGCCTATCTGGTGCTAATTTAGGAGTGTTGGCTCGTAGTGCTTCCCGACCTCCTCCTTTGGTTCCCAAGTCTATTGGCTCCCATAATAGAGTCTGTCCATATTCTTGAGGATCTTTGACTCAGACAAACCATTGACAATGGTGTCGGTGACTATTCCATGGGTGGGGGGAGCAGTAGGATCACGATCACATCACTTACTGGACATCTAGAGCTCTTTCACCAGGGATCCATAGGTACTTCATGTTCTGGATTCAGAGTCGGTCATTCAATTTACATCACCTCCACTGTTATCTGCCCAACTTGTTACCTTTTCACCTCTAACAGATACATAACAAATGGAGCTTCATTCCCAGGCCATAAGAGATTTGTTAATCAAAAAGACAGTAGAGAGGGTCGACCCTATTCTTCCAGGATTTTATTCCCGTTTATTTGTTGTACCCCAAAAGACAGGAGATTTGCGTCCAATCATCGATCTGTCTCGACTCTACCAATTTTTAGATCCTCCTTGCTTTACAATGGAATATTTTCTCAACCTACGATGGCACTTTGCCCAGGGCTCTGAATGACCAAGTTCAATATTCCTGACACTTATCTTCATATTCCCATAGTGGAATCTTCCCGGAGGTTTCTCAGATTTGTACAAAGGGTCAGGCCCTACAATTCAGTGTTCTACCTTTTGGTCTTGCATCGGCACCTTGTCTTCTGCAGAGTTGTACAAGTTTTTTCTCATCATCTGTATTCTTTGGGTCTGTGCACACATTATTATATGGACGACTGGCTCCTTTTGGCACCATCCCATCAATTAGCAAAATAACATTCTGAGATTCTCCTTTCATAAACCACAAGACAGGAGAAATTTATTTTGTCAACGACGCAATATCTCATCCATCTGGGTGTGTTTTTCAATACTCACTTAAGTCGAGCTCAACCAACCCCTATCAGGTTACAAGCCATGGAAACAACCGTCAGGCTTTTACTTTATTCTCTTTCTCTTACTGCACAGATGGTTCTCTCTTTTGAGGATATGGGCATCCCTTGAACCTCTCATTCCTTTGGGATGAGCAAATATGAGGTCTCTTCAATGGTCACTGTGCGACCAATGGATCATCCTGTCTCATTACTCAGGAGGAACATCGTCGAATGGTGACCGGTTCGAAACAACACTTCTATTGGAGTACCCATTCCACCATCTTGTCCTGAGATCCATCTGTTCACAGCTGCATCTGTTCAGGGATGGGAAGCTTATCTTCAAATCAGGAGTTCCAGGGTAATTGAACATAAGACAAGTCTACTCTTCATATCAATGTTCTCGAACTCCTTGCAGTACACTGGGCTATGATTCAAGGTCTGTCTCTTTTGAGGGAAAAGTTGATACATTCCGACAATTCCATGGTGATTTCTCAGATTTATCATCAAGGAGACACACATTCTTGAGACCTTTGTTTTCGTACCTTGGATCTTCTCTATTGGGCTCATGCTAATCATATCAGTCTTTTAAAATGTCATGTTCCAGGAGTGATGAACGTAACTGCAGATCACTTGTCTTGACCCAACAGGATTCTTCCAACAGAATGGATGTTGCATCATGAGGTTTTTCAGTGGATTTGCTCTCAGTTCAGGTCTCTAATGATCAATGCCTTTGTAACTCATTGGAATTCTCAACTGCATTCAGTCAGGACTGGACAGGTTTGCATCTGTATGCCTTTCCCCCAATTCGGCTATTGTCCTGGGTTCTAACTATGGTTAGTTCTACTCCCTGTTGAGTTCTCTTTGTTGCACAATATTGGCCAGCTCGAACGTGGTTTCCTCTTCTTCACTATCTGCAGGAATGTCCACCTCTACCTCTTCCACACTGGCAGTTTCTGTTGAGATAACCTCAATCAGATATTCTCCACCCAGGTGTTTGGAAACTCAGTCTTCATGCTTGGAAGTTATATGGTCCTTTGTGCGACATAAGGGTTTAACTTCTAAGGTTTCTCTGTATTTAACTAAATTTCTCTGTAGGCCAACCACTGCCATTTATCAGTGAAAATGGAATACTTATCATCACAGGCGTATTAAAAGGAATTGAAACCCTCTTCGTCCTAAAGTACCTACCATATCCCATTTTCTAACTTCAGTGGGGTCTTGCTTCATGTACAGTAGCTTTGTATAAGGCATCCTTATCCACTGTTTTTCAGTATTCTAAATATTGGAAGGTTTTTGAATCCTCAGTACTATCAGGTCTACTCAAATCTTTTGTATTCTTAGACCCAAATGACCTTTTCAATTCCTAAACTCAGATTTTACAGTTGTTTTACATGCATTGTTTC